ACGTTGGAAGGAATACTAAATAAAGCTGGAGTTATGAATCAAAGGATTATAGACCCAAGTGCGGGGAAAAAGAGACAAAGGACAAAAGATAAAGAAGTGAAAAAGGTTGAAAAATTACGGCTCCATATTTGCTTAACAGAAGATCTATTTAACGTTTCTCATTACTACATCTTTTGTCCTTTCTCATTTTTCCTTCCTTTCCCCAAATTTGGGTCTTTAATCCTTTGAGTCACAACTCCAGCTTTATTTAGTAATCCTTCCGCATTCACACATCTCCAAGTATTTGAAAATATTTTCTTTCCACTCAAAAATAAAGTATGAATAAAGGTTTACGGCTTTGTGAAACTTTTTTTTGAGTTTATGCCGTTGAAATAAATAAATAATAAAAAAATTAAAACATTTGTCGGTTTTGTTTACACGTTTATTGGGCCGCATTGGAACTTGCCTTGGGCCACATGCGGCCCGCGGGTTGGACACCCCTGGTTTAACATATCCAGCATACTATATCTGCGATACTAATTAATTACAGAAATATTCTCAAATTTCAAAAAAAACACTCCAAACAAAGATTTTTAAAATTAATAAACATTTAATTAATTTAGAAATATTGGTTTACATAAAGCTAAATTGTTTATTTTTATTTTTCATAGTTAAAATTTGCTTGCTTCAAAAAGAAAACTATCCTTAAAACATGCATGTAATAATTTTTTGAAAAAATATTTTCAAAATAAAATTTTAATTAAAAAATATTATAATACAGAGTATTTATAATATCCAAAATAATTAAAAATTAAAATTATTTATTTATATATATATATTTATTTCAACTTCTCTCTTTTTATCTTTTACTATGACTGTTATCAGAGTAATTGTTTTTTTTACTATTCTAAATGTTATAAATTCCAAAAACAAACAATAGATAGAATTATTTTAAGATTGAAACTTTATATCTACTAACATGTGAAAGTTATTTCAAAATTGCTATTATAGTTTTAAGTTCTTTTATCAAATTTAAAAAAAAAAAAAATCAGTAATTTAAAAATTGTTATAAATTATAATCTATATAAAATCTGTTAATATTATTTTAAAATTTGGATATCATGTTTAATAATAATAATTTAATAAAAGTATTTCCACAAACTATCAAAACTTTTTTATAATAATTGCTAAATTTGTAATAAAATAAATTACATATACTGAATAAAACCTAAACTATGTTCTCAAATATATATATTTAAAAATAAAATCTAACCTTGTGTTGTTGTATGTAATCCACCATCTGTTGAGGTATCCACATGTTGACCATAATTATCAGAACTGTCAACCACAGGCTTAAGAGAAAAATTTAATAACTTAATAATTGCTTATGAAAAAATAATTCAATTACATAAATAAAATTTAAAATAATAAAATTTCATATACATTAAACATCAAAATTTTTTATATTATTTGTAATCAATATAGTTTATAAATAAAAATACCAATTAAAATAAATTATGGTACAAAAAATTTAAATTCATTTTTTCTTGATTCAAAATGCAAAGTACAGTGAGTGATCGGTTAATGAACACTTTCGCAAAAGATTTTTATGTTCAGACAATGAACACCTCACAGAACAAACACAAGAAGAAGTGACGTAAAATTATGAATACTGATTGGTCTTCCCTTGACTTCAGACAACAATTCGAAACTTTTTGGAGCGCGAAAGACGTCAACATCGACACTCAACCTGGTATATACTGATCGGATAGTATTTCTCTGAACTTTTGAAACTCTCCCTTGTAATTCCAACCTTTTATTTTTCTGACAGAAACAATTTTTTTTATAGTATTCGTGAGACTGTCGGGCGGGCATTTGTTAAGTTTTACATTGGTTTTTATATCAAAAGGTGAGCGCATAATAGCAAAGGTAGAGAATGGGCATATGTCTGATGTCTGTTGTTGCTGGGCAGTATAGCTTGAACAGGTCTACAGTAGGTTGCAGTTCAATCTTATCTAAGAAAGATACTGTATTATCAAGAAGACTCAAGCAGCTTAAGGAATAACAAAAATCACATCTGAGAAATAAAGCACATTGAAGAGCTCATAATGGAACCTGAAACGGATCTGACGACATAAGAATGCCAAGAACTCTTGAATGAAGAACACCTAGAAACTCGGCAAGATATGTTTTCTTCTGAAAAAGAAAATTAATGTTGATATCTGCTATTAAACATTTTTTTGAAGAAGTGGGATGATGTCAGAACAACAGTCTTAGAATGGCATCCAAACCAGGCTGAGGTTAATAGGCTTAGGAATCTCTACAATTACAATGCTATTAATTACTTCTGAAAAATATTGAAGAGAGAAAAGCAATTGACATTAGACAGATTCTTTAACCCCCACAAACGAAAAAAACATAACTAATAAAAATGCAAGACTGTGTATATATGTATTTTTATTATTACACATAAATAAATGTATTAAGAAAGTATATATTTTTTATTTTTTTGGAGTCTCCAGAACGAATTAATCAAATTCCCATAAAAACCTATATGGTAAATCATTAATTGGTTAACGAACAAAGTCTTGGAATGGATTAAGTTTGTTAACCAATCACCCACTTATATTACATATTAAAAATATTACAAAAATTAAATTATTTGAAATGTACTTAGCATTATAATAGATTCATATAAAATCAAATTTTGTATAATTTCTGTTTCCCTTTATTGTGTCAAATCAATTATGTTACAAACATAAGCTGGAAAGAACTGTGATCAATGTAAAACTGGTGAAATACCAACTTATCAATACGAAACATAATATATTTTTACTTCATCCAGCTTTCAAAACTCTGCCATTTAGAATTTAAACTTCATTAAATAATGGCATTTTTAAAATGTAAAATAACATTTTCAACATTCCACAGAAAAATTGTTAACAAGAGAAATTCATCTCACAAACTTCCAAATTACAAAGTTCTAATTATGTATATATAGTGTATGTTAGGCTGAAAGACCGAAAATGCTCATTGAGTGAAAAAATCAACCACAACACATTCTGACTTCTAAATACAGCTACAATGCAAATTTTGTGTCATGACACTTTCAAAAATGCACATAATGCATTTTCACATATTCAATAACATCACAAATCAAAATTTGTGTTGAAATTATTTTAATAATCAAACAAAACATGATCTGGTAAAGTGAAAATGCCACAATGCATTTTGAACATTTATTAATGCAGCCGTGATGCAATGTGAAGTATCTGTGCAAAAATAAATGAATTTGTGAGATCTGAACGGTCAGGGAAGGATCATTTTAATCAAAATACAGAGTAGAGAAAAGAATTAAAATAATAGAAAATAATATTTTAAACTTCAACAAGATTTTATCTAAAAACGGAGGAAACATCAGAATTTTTGAANTCTGTGCAAAAATAAATGAATTTGTGAGATCTGAACGGTCAGGGAAGGATCATTTTAATCAAAATACAGAGTAGAGAAAAGAATTAAAATAATAGAAAATAATATTTTAAACTTCAACAAGATTTTATCTAAAACCGGAGGAAACATCAGAATTTTTGAAAATAAGTTGATTTCCTTTCCCAGGCTAACTCAGGATGAGTCGAGTTTCACACACGTTATGGAAGACCAAATAAAAGGGCCGTTTTCCCACCAGTCGAGCAGTCTGTTGAAGAAAGGAATTGCCATACGAATAGAAGTCTGACATACGATAAAGGCAGTCCATCGAAACAAGGTTTGCCATACGAAGAATCTGAAATACGTTAAGACGCAGTCCGTTGAAGAAAGGAATTGCCACACGAAGAGAAGTCCACATATGATAAAGGCAGTCCGTCAAGGAAAGGGTTTGCCATACAGAAGAATTAGATATACGTTAAGAAGCAGTCCGTCGAAGGAAGTTTGTCTTACGAAGTAGAATCCGAAATATGTTAAGAGGCAGTCCGTTAAGAAGAGATATTGCCATACAAAGAATACAATACAAGTGATTGTCATACCAGACCAATAAGGCCATACTGGACCAATTGATTGAAGTATAAGTATACAAGATTGTCAAAGGAGAAAGATAAAAGAACCTCCATCCAAATAGAAGAAGAGAAATATATAAAGAAGGCAGAAGATCCTCATACAGAAACAGATACAAAAAATACGGTGAAGGTAATATAAGCTCTGAATAGATCGATGTAAACTCTCTCATGCATTAGGTAGAAATAAGATAATTTAAATTAGATTTAGATATAAGTTAGATTCATCGTTGTATATTTTTATTATTTGATTTATTAAATATTTTGATTTGTTTATAAAATGGCTTGGTTCATATTAGACATTTATTTTCATTCAAGTTTCCTTAGTTCCTCCGAATCCCGAGTTTAAGGATAACGCGTGTTAATCCACGTTTAAAATAACTGATTAACTGGTGTCAAGAAATCCTGACTAGATCTAGAATTAATCCTCTAGATTGTTTAAACATTAACAGCCTTCTAGAAAAAGTTGGTGAGCCGATCTTGAGATCGTGTGTCAAGTAAGCGGCATAGACATAGTTCTGTGTCCCTGGCTTCTCACAAATTTCTTTATTTAAAATAAAATAAAATTCTAATCTATGTTGAGAATTATACTGAAAATAAACAGCCTCATTAATCTTGTCTCAGCCTTAGATTTCTAAGATAGAAACTTCTATCATCATTATTTTTATCCTAATATTAATATAAAAATTTGTTTGGAATTGGTCTCTTTGTGGAAGCATCATTATTGAAAACTAATTTGCAATCAATTCACAAAATGACTTACAAATAAATTTCTTTATTTGACTTAAATCTATAATACTTTTTAGGTATCTAGGATTTTAGTTACTATATATAGGATAATTTTATTAGATATGTCCATAAATTATTTGAATTAAATAAAAGATCAGATACAATATTGACTTTTAATGATAAACTATTTAGTTCTGAATGGCAAAAATCAGAGCAAAAGAACTCTGTTGACAAAATGTTGGCAAACAGGAATTTAGCAAAATCCTAATACAATTTTTATTAAAGCTTTTTTTCCTTTAGCTTATTATTAATTAATATATATAATTTCAGGAATCTGTTGATATATGCTAAATAAAATAATTGTAAATATTTAAAATCTAGAAAAAATAAATAAAAATTTTAAAAATTTTATCTGAACTACTTTAATAATATCTGAGGAGTATAGTTTTTAATTGATAAAGGAATTGTATTGTTTACATTAATATGTAGAAACAGTATTTAAAGGAAAAGAAAACTGATTTGTTGACAAAATCTAATTCTATACATGTTAAAACTTGTATGGTTTGAACGATAAATCTTTTTTAAAAAAAATTTTGTTTAAAAAATGTAATAAAAAAAATATTTAAAATTCAATTTTTGATTGATTCAGGACAAAAATTGATATTTATTAAAAACTTAATCTATTCAATAGCTTAATGATCAAACTTTTTATTAAAATGTAATTTCTTGATTTAAGTGTCTTTTTATTCATTTTTGTAAAACTTTACATAGATGTTATACATAATTATATACATAAATGTGTATATAATTTATGCATAAAAATAAAATAAATAACTGAGAATTAGATTTTTGATTTTGATTAAAATTTTAAATATTACAAAATTCCTATACCTCATCATGTTGATGTAATTTAGGTCCTACAGTAGAATCAACTACACAGTGCATTCCAGGTTCTACATGGTTAGCAGGTACAAGATCCACACTTGATGATACAAAACTGTGTACCAAAGGTTGAGATATTGTTTGTACTCCAGAAAAACGATGAACACCCTAAAAAATTAAACATTGTTCACTGATATAAATTTTTTTATAAACAACAAACTTACAAAATTTTGCTTTTGTTTATATATTGCTGGTATTCATTTATTTCTAATATAAAAACAATTGAATGATTATTGATATGCAAATTAATACTTTTTGAATCAAAACCAAATTATATAAAACTGAAATAGATTATTACTAATTATTTGTATAATATTAATAAAGTCAAAAAATTAAACAACAAATTTCATTGAAAATTTTTTTGTTCTTATAAAATAATTCATTCATTTTTTTCATACATAAATAAACTTTATTTATAATAGATTTATGCCTGTTAGAAGAAGGTGGTATTATTTTACCAAATTTCAGAAAAAGAAGAATTTACAAATGAAAATAATGGTTTATCTTTTGAAGATCAAATAATCCTTTTCATTTCATATGCTGATGATATAGTAGTTTCAGCTCCGACTGCAGCTGCACTCCAACAAAAAATATATGCTTTAGAAAAATACTGTGGAGAACTAAAATTGAGAATTAATCCAAGAAAATCCTTCATTATGATTTTCCAAAATGGTTCTAGATTGCCAAAAAAATACATGTCATTCTATCTCAACCAAGAAAAGCTTTTAATTTAATAGTCCCAGAGATAAAATTCTTGAGTATAGTGCTTACTCTGACTTTGTCTTTTGAAAAACATTTCAAGAAAGTCAAAACAAAATCTACTACCTTGATTAACAATTTATTCAAATTATTTGCTAAATTAAAAATTTGTAATATCAGAATCCAATTTATATTGTTTTCTTCCATTATCTTAAATGCTTTTGGATATGCTGCTCCCATTTGGAGCCTATCCTATTTTAAAAACCTAGAAATAATTCAAAACAAATTTATATGCAAAGTGTTTTCTCTAGATTATAATATGTTTCTGGTGTGGTGCTTCATCTTGTATTGAACAGATTTAGATTGGAACCATTTTTTATTAAAGGATACATTAAATTCCTTAGTCGATTGAGAGACAATCAGGTGCTTCCAGTCTTACTGTTGAGAATATTGTATCAAAAATCTTTTTTTGAGTCAAGAAAAAACTGAATTGGTCAATTGTCAACTTTGTTTAATATGTCCGGTTTCTCGACAGATCTATTCATATATAAATCTGATTTATGTGAAATATATATTACTCAGTTAATTAAGAACTCTTTTGAAATAACTTTAACTCAAGGCATTTAGGATATAAGGAATCATATTAACTCTACTTGTTATAATATACTTTTAGATTATCCATACATTAACGGTTATATGGGTACTGATTTATCCTTCAATCCTTTATCCTATTGAGACTAAATAGAGAAATTATATTTATTAATAATAATATTTATCAATTTTCTAAATTATTCTGTAAAAGTTGTGATGTTCCCATGTCTAAATTTCATTTATTTTGTTCTTGTAATAAGACACAAGAGTTACATAAACGTTATAATCTCGAAGCTTTGAACTCCAAGAATAATAAAAATTCTATGTATCTTTTCTTCCATACAGCTAAAAGTAATACAATATATAATCTATACAACTACGCACAAAAACATGTGGTTAATAATCAATCAAACATATTATCTTTGTAATTCTGATTTGTTAAATACAAACAAAATTAAGATTATGTTTATGTTGATACTTTATTTGTAAAAAATTGAGAGATATTGTCCTTTTGGACTATTTGTCTTAAATTGTTCTATGTTACTCTTTTTCTGAAATTTGATATAATAATACCACCTTCTTGTAACAAACATAAGCCTTATAAAATAATTATGTTAATTTTATTTATTTAAAAACTTAAACTAAATATCAATATTCAACATAAAATAAATAAATACTTAATCAAACGATTAGAGAGCTCTTAACTTAATGCCTTGATTTTAGTATTTTTGCATATCTTGCATTTCATTGAATTTCATATAATGTATTATTATATAACGTTTTAATATTTAATTATCCTATGCATATATTTATATACATATTTTGTTATTTATAATAATAATTTTTATTTTATTTTATTTTTCTTTATACATGTATATGTATAAAGAAAAATAAAATAAATATGTCATGTATATGTCATTTGTTATTTTATTTGTATTTAAATTTTTGTTTTATTTTATTTATATTCGAATATCTTAGCCTGATGATGGCCAACAGATTTGACTGAAAACGTTTGCTTTTTCATTAAATTTTCTCAGCAAATTAATTAAGGTGTTGTGTTTTTTTGATTTACATACTGCCGAGTGAGCGTACCTCAATTTTAAATAATTATTTTAAAATATTCTCAATAATCATTTTACTTAATAATTTATTTTTGATCAAACTATTAAACAAACTACTTAAAAAGAATGCTTTTGTTTATTTATTACATGTTTTTAAATAATTCATCTTTGTAACTTAACTACAATGAATATAAAAAAGGAACTGTTTAGAAATTAATTCTTTATTTTTCATTACAGTTATATCATTAATTAATTATTAATAGTTGCATGTTTTATTAAGATAGGGTCTAAATCTAAGATTCAAAGCCATATTCAATGCATGTTGAGTTTTTATATCTTATTATTTTTTATCATTATAGTTATCACAAATATAATTAGAGTTAATATTTATAATAAAATCAAATTATACATATTATTTGGAATTTTATTTAATGCAGTCTAGCATTCATGCATAAGTTGACTAGTTCTAAAGTAATAAAAGTTACAATACTGCTTTAATATTTGAATGGATATGAAAAAATTTTGAATTTGCTCCAAGGATATAAAATACATTTTAGATGAATACATTTTTAAAT